CCTGCAAAATATGACGAGTTAAAGTAAATCTACATCGAAAAAACTATTAATTACAAATTGATCCTTACGAGTGCACGTATGGAGCCATAAAAACATCTTTCTTGACTTCACATATTCTTTGCTAGAGATACTGGGCCCTTAACTCCAGAGTATTCCCTTTCTCTGTCATGTGATGTGGGTAAAGGAATATGAACTTATCACCTTTGCCCGATGTGATGCACAAATGATGAAGGTACCTACAGTAATGCAATTGTGTTAGATCACTAGAATTGATAATTAAGTTAATTTCATTCAAGAAATACAAACTTACATCATAAATAGTTCAATGTGTGGTGTGGTAAGCTGACTATCTGACAAAAGTCCAAGTAAATCTTCCTGTTCAATTGTCACTATTATATTTTTCTTACCCACAACCTTCGGATCCATTTTTAAATCTTTGAATTTGAATGATGGATCATACGCCATTAAGATCATTTGTTGGTGTGGAGTTAACGAGGGTTTTGGAAGTTTTGGGAGATTCGGTGAGAAAAGCTATTATACATAATAAAAAAGAAAGAAATAGTTAGTAAGAAAACATTTTAGGAAAGCTGCAACATAATAAAATTACATACCACAGGTTGAACCATATTCACAAGTCTCTTGGGCCACAGGATAAAATTACCAACAGCTTCTGCTACAGTCTTCACCTCATTAGTAGGGAATGGAACCAACGCATTTGGCACTTTTGGATCTTCAACCACCACTCTTACTTGATAATCTTGAATTTGCTTATGGTGGATGGTTAACCCCAAGTTGTAAAAGCTACCAAGAGCAACCAAGCGTCTATCAGGATCTTCTAGAAACATCTCGCATGGTTTACCAATATGGTCACCAGAAGGACCCTCTGACACACGCTCAAGAACAGTACTCCCTTTTATGCTATGAAATCCAGGAGATGTATGAATTGGTTCAGTAGGCATCTCCTGTTGTGAGCTCATCATGCTCATCATCTCCTCCTTCATTTGCTCCTTCATTTGTAAAAGCCGGGCCTCGAATGAAGCTTCAAACTCTTCTTTAGCTTGCTGTCTTACAGTGGATATCACTGTTTCAAGTTCTTCTCTAGTCACTACACCTCCTGAGTTGGGGCGTAAAGGTGCTCCAAAGTAGTCTCTTATACCCATACCATGTCCAACGCCTCTCACATGACCCGGATGCTCTGGTTTTCCTGTTGCAACCATCAAGATATCATTTCTGCCCTTTGGAATGATACTTCCTTGGGCTTGTTGCTCCTTAAGAGCATCCTGTAACATAAAAATAACAATCTTAATTAATATTATATATAATTGTATAGAAATTTAAAGGGACAAGAAATAATAATATTACTTACAATCCTCTCAGCAATCTTGTGCGCCGTCTTGCTTGTATAGCCTTTTTTGCCTCCTTTTTTGTATTGGTGTCCATATCTCTATTTCTCCTCTCGGGAGAGGGGTGGTGGAGAAAGGAGTATGGAAGGATCGGACTTAGCTTTTTCTTCTCTCTTCTTCTATTTCTCCACCATCAATATATTATCAGCCCTAGCATAACGGCTACGAGACAGCGTGTGGGGGCATTGATTCTGTCGAGCAATTTCCTGCTCTCTAGCTCATTTTTCCTATTAAAAAAATTAATTTTAAATTTTATAGTTGAAGTAAAACTAAATAAAACTTAATTAGAAATCAATAGACCAAAGCTTTTTTAAAAGTTCGAATCTTGACAAATTCTTGCCAAGTATCTTCATTAAGGAACTGGTATGTGTCGAGAGGATTAGGAGGAGCTTGACCCTCTAGCACCTCAATATGGATATATCTCCTAGCAAGATCAGTCTTGAAATTTCTCCAGCACGTTCCAAAGTAGGAAATCAACCTGTGTCGGCAATCTTGATTAGAAGGAACATTGTACGTGTGCTGTAATTAAAACACAAGATGATAATTAGTAATTTAACAATGATATATAACTATATGCATAAATTAATTATGTACCTAAATACTTTCCCATATCTGGTCCTTCACACGTTCTGGCACATCAAACTAGTCCTCAAATACAATAGGGGGCTTGGTACGAGATAGGAGGCCAAGAAAACTAACAAACTTAGCCTTGTGTTCCCCTATCAGATTCCATCTCTGATCAAATTGGATTGGTAACTTGTGCCCAGCACTCCTGCTTAATGTCAAATCTTTCAATCGTGTGCCACGTCTACCTCTCCTCACAGACTGGCTCTCACTAGGGGTCCCCTGACTTGAGTCATCACTAAGTGGTTGGCCAATAGTGGGCTGGCTCTGAGTGTCATCACCATGTTCACTCTGATACTCCATGTTCCTATTAATTCATATAGATTAAATTAATTAGAAAAATGAACAAATATAAGATAGTTAGAAAACATAATATAAATTTAATTGAATTTAGGAAACATACTTTAATTGAAAAACTAAATTCATATAGGGATATTCTCCCATATCCCTTCATGGTGCTCATTTCTTGCAGCATGTTTATCATCTACTTCATCTACTACATTCAAAATTGGTAGCCCTAATGAGAAAGTAGGGGTTTTAGAAATATCAAAGCTTGATTCTTGATTATCATCACTATGAATCATCATTTTTCCTTTCAGTGCTATTGACCAATTTTTATTTTCTGGATCTGTCACATAGAAAACTTGTTTAGCTTGGTCTGCCATGATAAATGGCTTATCCCCATAAGTTAGTTTTTTAAGATCAACCATTGTAAATCCTAACTTATCATCATAAAGTCTGAGCCTCAGGTTTCTTGGCTCATTACTAAATTCAGGAAACAAATTGATCAATTTTCTTCCATTGAGGAGAATCGGCTGGATGTCAAAATTTTTCATTAGATATCCTCTCATTTGTATGCCACATCAAGTTCTTCGCATCATTAGTATTTGCAAACAAGTACTTGAACCTTGGTATAATTGGAAGATACTATAAGACCTTTGCAGGAGCCCCCTTCTCTTTATACCGTGGTGCCTCACATTTCGGATACTTCTCCTCCCCTTCAAGCTCTTTTCTGTACAACACACAATCATTAGGGCATGCATGTATTTTTTTATACTTCATACGCATTGGACATAAGATCTTCTTGGCATCATAATAATGATTTGGTAGTACATTGCTTTTTGGCAACATTATTTGAAGTTGCTCTAGCAACCAAGTGAAACTTTGGTCACTCCAACCAGCTCTTGCCTTTAAGGTAACCAGTTTTAACACCCCAGATAACAAACTAAAATCAGTGTACCTCGGGTATAGAGGCTTCTTCGCGTCAGTGCACAAGTTATCATACACATGTGCTCGTTCAAAAGCTTCTTCTCCCACATTACGGATCATGTCCTCTAACCAATCTTCATTCATATCTATTTCATCATCCAGATCATTAATTTCCATGTATTGAGACGTGTTATTGTAATTTTCCAATTGTTCATCATGCCAAATCCATACTGTATAATTCTTGCAAATCCCATCACAAATCAAGTGCTCTCTTATTTCGGCAGCACCTAATCTCCTCTCATTCAAGCAATTAACACAAGAAAAATAGATTGTCAACAGCATTTTTCTTAGCAAATTCTAAAAATTCCTTCACCCCATTATCATACTCATCACTCGTTCGTCTAGCATTCATCCAACTACGATCCATATGTCAACTCCTAAAGAATATACTAATGTTAAAAATTAGACTTTCTTAAAAATGTCCACATGCAAACAACTTGATGAGGCCTTCTTAAAAACTAAATTTAAGCAATTCAAGGGAAAAGAATGAATTTTAAAAAATTTCGACAGAGTCTCCCCTAAAAATTGGACCTCTCAAGACTTTTAAAAAATTTTAATAGAGAAAATTGATAATTTTAAACTAAATTAATGATCATATGCAACAACTTAAGGATTTATAAATCCACTAACAGCACTCCTAACAATAATCAATATCATTATCATCGTATATATATATATACACACATATCAGCCTAATAAATTAACAAAAAAATACAATCAAATAAAAAATTATCTTTATAAAAATTAAGAGCCATACCTAATCAATCAAAAGTGGCGGCAGCAACAAGAGGAGGAGCAAGTAGGAGGAGGAGGAGGCGACAGAGGCAGGGGGAGGGAATGGCAGTAGAAGGGAGGAGGGGTAGCCGTATGGGGAAGGGTGTGGGAATAGGGGGAGTGGGCGGGGGCCGAGAAGGGGGGACGGGGGGCGGGGGGCCAGGGGGCTGGGGACAGGGGCGGGGGGATGGGGTCGAGGGGACAGGGGTGGGGATGGGTGCTCGGGGGAGGGGGACAGGGGGGACCGGTTGGCCGAGGGGGGTGGTCGGGTGGGGATGAAGGAGTATGGGGAAGGGGGATGAGGGAGGGAAGCACAAGTGTTCTGAAGGCACAAAAAATGAGGGTGGAGAAGCGTGGAGTTTAGAGGTAAAAAAAAAATTTGAACCACTTTCTACAGCGGGTCACACTTTACCCACTGTAGAAAACATGATTTTCTACAGCAGGTGCAAGCCACTCGCTGTAGAAAATCTGCACCCGCTGTAGAAAACCGTTTTTCTACAATGGGTGGAAGCCACCTGCTGTAGAAATCGTATGTCTACAGCGGGTGGTAGTCACCCGCTGTAGAAACTCTATTTTCTATAGCGGGTGTCCATGCACCCGCTGTAGAAAGTATTTTTAACAGCGATTGTCTTTTTACCCAATGTAAAAACTATAATATGTGTTGCCAAAATTACAAAAATGCTACCGCCTTAATTTTCTACATCGTTTGCCTTTCAACCGATATAGAAAGTGCCCCTTGAATTTCATATTTTGTACTAGTGTTTCCCTTATTCTATACCCTGTATAGGTGGAATTTCATGCTGCCGAAAAATAATAAATGTATAGAATGTAAAGCAATAACCTTATATATAACTACTTTTCCAGAAATTCAACACAGAAAGTCATAGTTATAATCTATGTAATCAATCAAACTAAACCGGTAAATTAAACTTAATTCTGGCTAAGTAAACCTGCTTTAATCACAATGATCAAAGCAGTATCCTCCAGATCCTTATTACTTTTCGGAACCGATGATGGATCAGTACTAGGTGGCTTCGAATCGCATTCCTTAACATACTTGATGACATCATTCGCACCAGAGGTCATGCGATTGTAATCTGCAGAATTCAGAGCCCTTGAAGTATCCTGAAGACGACTCAGAACATCATCGTACGCTATCGCACAAGTTGTATAATGTTGTCTCATCTGAGTATCAGTTGTGTTGGCGATGAGGTCATGAAGATCAGTGATGGTTTGGAAGGCATGGAGGTGAGCTACGTCCATGGTGGCATAATGGCTTAGGGTTTGCAGACCAGAACCAGATTTTGGTTTTAGGGCTTCAGTACAGAAAGTAGGGTTTGTGTGTTTTGCACATATTTCATGTACGGGGACAGTTTTTGCGGAGTACGACGATAGTGGGAGAGACAGAAAAATTAGCAGAAAAAGGACAATGAAGATCATTGTCAAAGGTTTGACAATGGAGGAAGGAGACGCCATAGCGCAGAGATTTCCGTGTTCTCTAATTATTCATCTGCTTTTATAAACAGATTTATATTAGCACAACACAGTGTGATGTATATGCAAAATTAATTAGAAGATCGGAATATTAATGAGTGCAGATTTTCTTTTTGATGGTAATTTATTCTGGGTTAACTCATGCCTCAAGTAAGACTAAATTTCTTTCCTAAATAGTGCTTGCAGTTATTACTGGGGAGTAAATGTTCTTAAATGCTAGTCCAATTGAATTTTCTGCCATTGTTGTAACCAGTTGCAATGTCAAAAAGATTATAGTACAATCTGTAAATTAAAATGGTTAAAACACTAGGTCAACACTTCTATAGTCAATTTATTCATAGTAAAATTTACAGCAAACTAACAATAAAGAAAAATATTTTTAATAAATTAAAAGATTTTTAATTCAAAGCATAAAGAAGACACAATTAGAAAAATAATGATAAACATAATGTAATTAGGGAAGAGGGTATCCCCATCGTTCCAAAACTATTGGCATTTTAGATTCTGTTTTGATTCAAAACATTTCTGGCTTTTAAAATTCAATATTTGATTAATTTTTTTTTTCAGTTATACCCACATTTAATAATTATATTTAAAACATAAAAATCATGCAAATGCAATCAGAAAGAAATAGCTGGTAAAAAAAATTAGAAAGAATTAAATTAGAATATTTTAATTATGATAACATTTTATATTAATAATAAATTTTTAATCTATAAATATATCAACAATTTTGGAGGGGAGCTGTGGAGGAACTACATTAATATATTGTTAAAGATGTAATTTTTAACCTAGGGGTCAGACTCAGTTGAACATCATTGATCTTTTTATGTGCCTTATATAATTTTCATTTATAAAGATTCATTTTCAATGAAGATAAATGGGATGATTTCGTCACTATAATGAATTAGAATTATTTCGTAACTAATATTACACCAATGAAATTAATGTTGAAATTTTGCCACTAATTTGTTTTTCTTATTAAATATGTTATCTGAAATCTTGATATCTTTTTTTTTCTTACTCACAGGAATTCTCCTATTAAAATCAATTATGTTTGAGATATTTTTGGGGACTAAATATGAGTATATTTCTGAATGAGAATTCAGATCACAATTTGTTACATTATGAGGGATTAACATTTTTTATTGGACTCGGAAAAATGCGACGTGGACGGCGCGCGAGCGGAGGTCCCGGCCTTCGCGACGGGAACCGGATCGAACGAGGAGTCGCCACCAAGATTTTGAGGTAAATCTCGGGAAACCGATTAAAAGGAGGATAAGGGTGATCTACGAAATCAGAGAATAGGTTCGGGAGTCGGTTGAGTGTGGAGAAGGTGTTAGGCACCCCATAACACCCGTTCGTGAGAACGGTTACCTGAAGTTTGTTGTGCTCTATTAATATGGTTTTAAAATTATTTTAATTATCCCTTTTATATTCATGTGTCTGATATAAAAATGATGATAATTGAGTGAGAAATGTTTATTTATTTACGAGAGAGGACGGACTTGACTCAGAATCTGACTCTGAGGCCTACGTACCCTGTGATGGGAATCAAAGTCCACGTAGTTCGGGCTTAAAAGTTTATTGGTAAAAATATTTTTTGAAGAGAAATTAATTATAAATAATTCATCATTTTACAAATAAAACAATTTCTGAAATTTTGATATGTGTGTTTTAAATTGCAAAAAGTAATTTAAATTTAATTATTTTCTCAATTTTTGAATTTTTGAAATAAAGAAAGAAAAGAGTTTAAAACTTATTTTTTTATATTTTGTGATTGGGAATTTAATTGCAGTACTTGCAGAACTTTATTGATTCATACGGTAATGCAGTTGTTCTAAATATCTGCGGAGATTCTGAAATCTCACATGATAAAAGAATTTGGCAGTTTAATTTATTTATTTATATTCTTATGTACATTTTTAAGTATTCATGATAATTCTTTAGCATGTAAATACATGTCTTGAAGAATTTTAATCAACATACCTGCAAAGCCTTATTGACTTATACGGTAATATGATTATCCTAAATATCTGTGGAGATTCTAGAATCTCACACGAGAAGGAATTAAATTTAAATATGTCTTTAATTTAATTAATTATATAATTTATATATATTTTAAAAACTTAATCGTTATATCTACAGAGCCTTATTGATTCATACGATAATACGATTATCTTAGAAGTCTACGGAGATTCAAAAATCTCACATGACTAACAGATATAATTGGTGAATTTGATTACAATTTAAATTCATTAATTTAATTAATTAAAATTATAAAAATGTTTTTTTATTTTATTTACAAAAATCATTTACCAATGAAAACTCTTAGGATTTTACGAGACCCACAAGTAAAATACAAACATATCTTTAAAGCAAAAATAATTCAACCTTAAATGCACATTCACGGTATATATCATCATCATGTCAAGCGGGTAAAAAAAAACAATTTGACACATTAGCTTAGCAATATTTACTTGCATTGTATCAAGCGTTCAAAAAGAATCACCAATCTTCAGTATATATATCATTATGACAATGAACCACATAGTCAAAATATAGCAAGGTGTATAGCAAACAATTCATGTTGCATACGTACACAAATCATAGAATCCATAACAAGCCACATATTTATAATTTGAGAATGATAATGTTAAGGCAATTAGATTTCATATAATACATAGAAGAGAAGAGAAAAAAAAGAACATGCTGAGAGTAACGTAAGGATTAAAGAGATGAGAGGATTATATTACTTGGAGCAGCTAGTGTCAATGGGGATAGTAAAGGAGATAGGGATTATGGCCTCAGGTCCTTCCCGTATCATCGTGTGATATTACAGCTTCTGTTGAAACGGCTCCTTCCTCGTCCTCTCAGCTTCTCTTTTCCCAGCCAGAACAGCTTCTTCCCTCAACTCCTCAGTCTCTTCTTTTCAACTGGAACAGCTCCTTCGGTCCCTCTCTCTTCATCTCAGTCTCTTCCCTTTTCAGCCTCTGTTTCAACTTCGAATCTGTGTCTCCACCTTATTCGTCCTCGATGCTCTGTTTTCGTGTCTCGTGACTGTGGCGTTCTCTTCTCTTTCCTCCTTCTCCGTCTCTATTTCTCTTTCTCTCCAGACTCTCTCTTCGTTTCTTCTTTCTCTCCAGACTCCTTCTCCTTCATTTTTGTCCCGTCTCTCTCTCTCTTTATCGTCTCCATCTACGTCTTTCTTCCTCCTCTCGGTCTCTGTTTTTTTCGTCCAGCTCGTATTTTTTCTTCCTTTCTTGCTCTCTCTCCCCACCTCCTCCCTCCAATTTTTCGTTCGGTCTTATATAGAGGATGGAAGAGGTGAATCATTGCTCTTCTGCTCTGCTTCTTCCTTGCTACTGTATCTTCTGTGTGCACTGAAGTCTGCTCTATTTTTTTTGCGTTTCTGTCTTTATTTTCTATGCCGTCCCGTCTGCTTTCCCTGCTGTGCCATTTCCTTTATGCATGCGTGCGTCCTTAGTTTTGTTTCTTTTCTCCTGCCAGCCAAAAGTATATGCGTATGTGTTCCAGTTGCTTACTGTTCTTTCTGCTCTGTTTTGCTTCTTCTGCATTTCGTGTCTGTTGCCTCTAGTTCTTTCAGCGTCTGCAGCTCATGTGTTCGTGCATTCTACTGTTTCTGTCCTTTTTCCTGCTGCATGGCCGAAAGTGTATGCTTATTTTTGTTTCTGCGTCTCTGTGCCTGTGTTTCTTCGCTGTTTCTGCATTTCTTTGCTGTTTTTGCATTTTGTGTCTGCTGTCTCTTTGTTTTTACTGCTGTCTGGCCGAGAGTGTATGCGTGTGTGTACGTGTGTTTCATGTGTCCTGATGATGCTGCATGTATCTGTTCCTTCTTCTTCTTTCTCTCTCTCTCTCTTTTTATTCTTTAATGACTCTTTTTTTCCCCTTTTTTTATATTAATTAGATTGAGGGAATGAAAGAAAGTCTAATTTTAAAACATATATTTTTAAATGAAAAAACAAAAAATTTAAGAAGAGAAATTTAAGGATAATTGAGTCTCAAAAATTGATTCCCAGTATCTTTGTATTCTCTCTTTTTGAAAATATATAAAAAAAAGAATTTCCTCTATTTTTGCATTTACTATTTTTATTATTATTTATTATTAAAAGGGAGTCCGGACAAAATACGGTGTTCACACTATAAGTGTACCAAATTTTAAAAAGATCTAACAGTCAGATTAAAAAATTAGACATGTTACAAGTTTGGTCATTTTTGCTATCATGATAGCTTTTTAGCTGTCATGACAGCACCTCTGGACTAAATTCTGGAGTGCACCATTTAATCATCTGACCTTCGATCAGAGCGATTCTAAAGCTCACATGTCACTTTTAAAGAGTACTATTAGCATACCAAATTTTGAAAAGATCTAATAGACGAATTGAATTTCGTGCATATTGCAACATCATCACTGTTGCTGTCATGACAGCTCCTCCGAACCAAATTCTGGACTGCGCCGTTTCTCTGTCGGTGTCCAATCGACATGATTCCAAAGCCCACACGAAACTTATAAAGGGTTTTACTTTTGATCCAAATTTTAGAGAAATCCAACGGTTGGATTGAGATTTAGACACCCAGATGCAAAAGTACAGTTTTTTAGTAAAAACCATTTTAAAATTGTTTAAATCTCATCCTAATGGTCATAAACTTGTGGGAATACTTTGGACACATTAAATAGGACTAAAAACACTTGATAGAACATTTAAATGATAGAAAAACCCTTTATACCAAAATTTGACCACCCAGGTGCCATTTTCCAAAATAGACCCTAAGTCCCCAAAATTCACAAATCAAACAAGAGTGGCCAAAAACCATTTTAAATATCATATACACACATGAATACATGCTAAATATTTTCATTTGGCTCAAAGATCTCCGAGGGGCCTACGCACCCACTCTCTTTATCCAAGGTGTATGTTTGCCCATAACACACCATTTACAATGCAACTACTTTGCATTCG